AAAAAAAAAAAAAAAAAAAAGAACAAAAAAAAAGCAAAAGAAAAAAATAAAAAAAAAAGTAAAACAAGGTCAAACAAAGTCACAAAAAAAAAAAAAAGCGAACATAAATCGAGTAAAAATAATTCTGAAAAAGCGCAAAAGGAACCAATAGAACAGCGTCACTTAAGGAGCGAACCAGATTCCCGGTTTAGCCGCAAAGAAGAGTTTCCTTTTGGTTCCCCTTCGAACTTTTTACTCGAGCGCGTACATACCGCCGCGTTATCATTTCCAGTAGCAGAATTTGAACAACATATTTGAGCGCGGCGCTAACAAGGTTTTTCCTCCCGTAGAATCATTTGAGTGGTCGGAGAAAATGTACATGCTAAGGTACTACTTGGACGACAATGGAAAGAGGGTATACACGGTGAAGGTAAGGAGGAAGAGAGAGGCCCTTCGAGTCGCAGCCAAACTGCTGGCCGGCTGTCACGTTCGCACTGCATTCGCGTGACAGATTCACAAAGTTACATTTTTTACTTTGCATTTTTCCTTTTCCCCCCAGCCCATGGTCGATGGTAAGGTGACGTTCTCGGCCCACCCCTGCCGATTTTCACCAGACGACAAGTTTTCCTCCCAGCGAGTAACCCTCAAGAAGAGATTCAACCTGTTGTAAGGTATGAGGAGGAGGAGCATCCATCTGTGTCTATACGAATGAGCAGTCCAAGCTGTACCCCACCGAATGGGGGCACAAACCACCCGTACTAAAAGGGAACACAACGGAAGAGAAGTGGTGGTGGGGAGGAACAGACCCTTTGAAGTGAAAAAAAAATGTGACATATAATATTGTGTATACATATGTATACCCTCCCACGAGTTGCATTCGTATGCCCCGCGGAATCCTTCGCAACTTATGGAGTAGTCTTCACGTGTGCAGCTTGATTTTGCAGCTCGTGCGATGGACCCTGTGTCCATTTATCGTTTCACCGTAAGCTGCATTTGCGCATGCTTTTTAATTTTTTCCAAAATTTGTGTACACGCCAAGGTGACCTGTTCTCCTGAACGCGATTTGCCCTTTGATCTTTTTTTTAAAAAAAAAAAAAAAAAAAACAACAAACATTTGCAACAGTTAATTTGTGAAAAAGGTTAAATTAACGGAGGGTTAACGAAACTCCGGAATGGTTCGCAGCACTAGGGGGAGTTCCAAAAAAAAAAAAAAAAAAAAAATGTAAATGGTATTCCACCAAGTGCACAACTGAAAAGACAATACGGATAAGGCACTGCACATTTTTTTTTTTTTTTTCTTTTAAGTATTTACAACGATTGTTTAGCAAAAAGGAGGAAAACAAAAATGCGATCTTTTTTTTTTTTTTTTTTTTTGTCCCTTGTCTGGCCCGTTCACGTTTGTTAGTGAATAAATTGTTCGCCATTTAAGACAGACACACTCGTTGGCATTGATTAGGAACGCGACTGGTCTCGCTGCTAATTAGAGTAAAACTAAAGGAGGTCTCACACTATTCCCCCCCCCCACGCACACGTGCACGCAGTATTCCCAGTGTGTGTGTATATTTTTTCCCCTCCGCAGCTGAAGCATATATGCACACCCGCTCCATAGGGACACACCATTACGAGACTACCCAAAATGCGGCATCGCAGCGGCAGCTCGTGTGCGTCCGTTGGGCACGGTGCGTATAGCCTACACTCCGAGCGAACAATGGCAGACACGCACTTCTTCGCAGAATCGAATGTCCTGGACGACCCCAGGGAGACCACCAACTCGTACAAGGAAATTAAATATGACTTGCTCCGCATAGAAAGGAACATCAACATAGAGGTACGCAAAAGGATTGAAGCAAACAAAAACATTCAACAGCTAATCGAGCAAACAGCAAATGACATGATCAACAATGTACTTAACAAAATCACAACCAAAATTGAAAACATATCATTTGCTCTCGATAAAATTATTAAAAAATGTGATGAGTTGGAAAAACTTGCAGGACAGATTAAGGTAACATTACCCACCAAAATACAAACCGAAATGATTAGCTTGAAGAGGGAAGTATCTGATTTTTTTATAATACTTAATAAGTACGCCAACAATAGGAAGAAGAGAAACAATGTGCTGTTTACGAAGATGGAAAATATGAATGCCTATGTGACTAATAAAATACACAGCGAAGTTTCCTTTACAGACCAAGACTTTCTTTTTTTTCGAAGAGAGAGTGCCAATCTGCTTGTTTGTGACGCGGATGATGAGCAGGCCTTTAAGGATGCCTTTTTGCAAGAGGTGGAGGAGATTAGGGATGCCCTCGCGCTCACCATCAAGGCGAGAGAGCAGTCTGACGACGACATCATCCAGGTTGGTGTTAACATGAGCTGCGTTGCGGTGTGATCGTATGTGATGGTGCGCCACTATATACATTCCCTTTGCCCACCCAATGCATTTCATTCATTCATTCATTCATCCATATGTGCCTTTTTTTTTCTCTCTCTCCCTTTATCACACCAACAGGCGATGAATAAATACACGAGTGTCCTACAGAAGGCTCTACAGTCCGTCATCACGAACAGTCACTAAGGGGTGGGAGTGGGGGTCGTACACTGCATGTGATGGTTCCTCTTCCCTTCCCTCGATCAGTTAGAGCATAATCCTAAACGTGTAACAGACCCATTTGAACAATGTGTGTGTATATATGCATACGTCCAACAGTTTTCCCCTCCCCCAGCAGGTGTACTATTCGTTATGGGGGTTGAGGCCAACACGGTATGGCGAGTCCCTTTTATGTTATTATTTTATTTTTTTTTTCTGTACACTATACTTCCCCCATTTTGTATTAACACGGGTGAATTAATTAAACACCTTGGGTTTGGTTCGATTTGGTGTGATATGATATGGTATTTTACAGTTTGGCATTTTTTTTTTTTTTTTTTTTTTTTTTTTTTTTGCTCTAAGGCTTCAGTGCTCATATGTGAGCCACATAAAACCATGTGGTTTGCATTCCCATATGGGTGCATCATTTTTTTTTTTTTTTTTCCCCCTTTTTTTTTGTTTTCCCGCCGATCCGTTTGTATACCGACTAGCTCACACGTCATATGTAACTCCTTTTTTAATAACAATAAAATTTATCACGAGAGGAAGTACCCACTGAGAAAAAGGGTTAACCTTTGAACTGTCGCATGTTCGCTTGCATCCGGCTGGTACCACCTCCTGGAAGTGAGCTTATAACAGAGGTTTACACCAAAAAAAAAAAAAACACATACAGAGTTGTAGCCCCGCCTCTCTGCGAGTAGTCCGGAAGGCACGAACTGATATGTACAAGCGCGTGCAAATAGTTTCTCCAACTCGTGGATCATTTTTCCCTACCTGCGAAACTGCCTTTTGCCCGATTTTTTTTTTTTTTTTTTTTTGAAGATCTTTACCCCCCTCCCCACTTGCGCAAAAAAAATATGAGCATTTTTTTTTGGTGGAAGGGGCTACCCAAGGGAACATGAAGAACGCGGGACACCTTGCCATGTGAAGAAGAACTTCATTTTGCCCTGCTCGACATCGTGCTCGTGTACGCATGAGCTTATGTATGTACGCTTGTACGTTCCTGTGTATATATGGGGTGCCCTCTCCGTAGCCGCATTGGCCTCTTCGTATAAGCGGCGAAGTGGCTGAAGTAGCTAAGCGGCCGAGAGGCGCAGACACGCGAATATACTTACCCAAATACACCATCACCGCCCAGGCGTGGCGCGCGTCCTCCCGCTCAAATGACTATCTGCTCCGGGTGCGGAGCCGCGACCGATGCCACCATATGCTGCCCCATATGCCTGAAAAACAACAAGAAGATATTTTACTGCTCGCAAGAATGTTTCAAGAAGAACTACAGTGAACACAAGAAAATCCACTACTTCATGAAAATGATAAGCAGCGAAGAAATGCACAGCAAAATGCTGGAGCGGGATGGCAACAGCGAGAGGCACAATTTGCCCGTGATAATACTGGGTGACGAGAAGGGCGACGATAATGTGCGGGAGGCGATGGACAGGTCGTCCTTCCAGGGACACCTTGCGACGGAGCTTGGCAACTCTGACGTTAGCGGAAACTATGACGCTAGCGACCATCGTGAGGGGGGCGATCCCTACCCAGCCAGTGTGGAAACCAAGAAAGGCCACAAAAATAGCAAGTTTGGAAATATGTACCGGAAACAGAATAACAACAAATATAAAACGATAAGCAACAATGACTACCTGTTTGATGACTCTAGTGATCAGAATGAGACGAATGACAAAAACTCCTGCAAAGGAAACCACAAAAGAAGCAAAATGTCCACATACATGCACAATCTGTCAAGCTACCTCTTTTCCAATAAGTACAACATGATATTGCCATACTATAATGATATTTCGGTGAATCCAGACAAAATTAACTTAAAAAACGCAAAGGGGAAAAATAAACTGAGCGAAAAAAAGATACAGGAAATAAAAAAACAGATAAAGAAGAAGAGAATTTTCCAACTCACCATTCTCCTGGTAATCATATCGATTGTTGTCATTTTGGCTACCTGTATATTCTCCTATATCCTTGAAACATCACAGAAGAATCTCCAAATAAACTCAGAAGTTTTATTAAACAAAAATAATGCTGCGAAGAATGCCGAGATTGTGGAACTGAAGTCCTACATCAACGTCATAGAAGATTTGCGAAAAGAAATTTATGAAATGAAGGAAGTTCTCTACACACATAATGTTTTTTTAAGTAAAAATTTTAACCTGAACATGTCATACAATTTATTTAACAATTCGAACAAAATGAAGACAAGCCCTGGTGCTACGCATAGTAAGAAGACGGCAGATAAGTTGGGCAGTCTTACTTCGCACCTGTTTTATGATAAGCCCTCTTCTACCTCCGATGGGATTTATACTTATGGGAATGCTGCAGGACATGAAAAAGCTAACCATGTTGACAGCTCCGTACAGCTAACTCAACAGCATTATGATATTAATGATATTCACGAGGTAAGCAATGGCACCGATGGGGAGATCGCTAAGCATGAGGGGGGAAAGATTAATCTTCCCAATCACACAGATGGGGAAGGAGAACATGGCCATCCCCAAATGAAAGATTTGGGCGAATCGTTTCGATTGAGTGGTGTAGAAAATGCCGACAAATCTGTAGGAGCGGATACACCTTCACAAAATGGGGAATCTGAACCAGGGCTGCCGAAGGAGTATGCAGCAAGTGGTGGGCGTCCCTTTGGGGAGGTACACATGGGTGGTGAAAAGACTAGCGATTTGAGTGGAAACCCGCTCGAAAGTGAAAACGAACTGGTGCAGGAAAATGTGAAAAATTTTATAAAAAATCACAACATGCCGAATAATCTGGAGCAGGCAACAATACGTAACGTAATCGTCAATGAAGAGAAACCCATAAACTCCAAATATCTCATGACAAAACATAACGGCGCCACGAGTGACACGCAGGAAGTGGAGATAAACAATGCGCCCAATGAAAATGACATACATAGTCACGAGGAGAAGCTGAAAAATAAGTATACCTCCAAAGGGGAGGGAGGTGAAGGGGACAACAACACAGAGAGAAAATTCGTCAATAGCAAACTCAACAAAAAGAAACAAAACACGATTTGAGATTCCTGTGTGCAAGCGTAGAGCGAAGCACACATATTAAAGCTTAAAAAAAAAAAATGCTAATAAATAGACAAATTTCACCTGAACGAGTCAGGTGAATTGAGTCACATTTTAGCTAGCTGGGGAGGGGGCAGGTGTCGCACTTGTAGTTGCACACACGGTGGAGCGCAGGATAGACGGCATAAAAGTGTGCCAAAAAAAAAACAAAAACTACCAACACGGCAGTGTGTCACGGCGAAGCAATTTCATTAAAGGAACTATAAATACAAGCGTGCGCGGCAAGCAAACTACCATTAAATGAGCCGAACAAAGCAGATCGAAGTATATGTTCATTTGTCAAGGCAAAAAAGTTTACATACCATGGTCCATGTAAAATGATGCAGTTCGAGTGGCACTGCGCAAGCTACCTGGTCAATTCGTACGGGTGGGTGTCTGTTCATCCAGCTATCCCTGTGTGTATACTCTTTGGGGTGGATCTCATGGTAGTAGTTCCTGCGGCATTCACATACGTATAAATGACCCTCCCCAAGCGTTTGTGTCCACGAGTATCTCTTTTCCCCGTTGCCCTTACGAAGAACCGATGTTGTACATTTAAAAAGAGAAACCAAGTCGGGACGATTTTTTTTTTGACTTTTCTTCCCATTTGTTTCGTATTGTCCTGATTAGACTTTTTTTTTTTTTTTTTCCCTTCATTTTATAGCTCACTTTTTATTTTCTTCCCGTGCACGGTGTTTACATGCCTTTTTTTAAGCAGAAGAAAGGTGTTCCCCCGTTTTTTTTATTTTTTCATTTTCCGCAACTT